AAATCAAAAGTAAAATAAAATCAACACAGACAGGCGTTAAGTAAATAAAGAAAATGAGTCCCCCTCTACTGTCAGATGAGCGCAATTTACATATATTCCCCGGTAAACACTGCCATCCCTTTCCACAGAAAAGAACTAGGCGACGGAGCTCCAAATACCAAGAGAAATACTAAGGGAAGACGACATGATCAGCCAGGCCTACATCAGATGTTTTCGAGACGCCTCTAAAAACCGGGTCCTATTCAGTAAACAAAATATCAGAGAACATTACATGAGCGATAATTCATTTTCTTGATACAACAAAAAATAATAATACCAAAGGATACTGTCACTATAACTATAAAAACAAAATAAACGAAAATTGTCATACCTCAACAGCCGAGACTTCGCAGCGTAATGAACCCTGGCTGGCGAATCACAACAGATCCGTTCAAAGGATTCGACCAAAACACCGAACCCTGAACCTTCTAATTCGCACAATAAGCTGTGTGAGAATGCAACAAAAATGAAATAAAAAGAAGAAAAGATACTTTCCTTCACAAGCAGTAGCAACAGGAAGAACAGGAGGAAGAGATGGAGAAGGCGAGGGTGATTAGGAAGAGAGTGAGGAAGATCGGAATAACAGTAACAACAATAACGCTAAAAAGTAAAAATAATAATAATGATAATAATAATGATAATGATAATGATCATATTAATAACGATAATAAGAATAATGATAACAATAATAATCATAATGGTAATGATGATAATAACAATAATAATAATAACAACAATGATAAGACTAATGATAATGATAATAACAATTATCATAATAATTATTACAATAATAATAACAATGATACTAACAATTATAACAATGATACAGTACTAATACTAATAAAAATATTATAACAATAATGATTATTAAAAATTATTATCATTATAAAAATAATAACGATAATAACATTAGTAACAATAATAATGGCTATAGTACTGATAATAGCAACGAGAACGATAAAGATAATGATCATAGTAATTATAACATTAATATCATTAATGATAACACTAATAATGATAATAAAAAGAATAACAATAATAATACCAATACCAAAAAAAACGTAATACAAATCACTAAAAAAAAAAAAAAATAGCCTCAGAGCAACGGTGCGAAGCGGTTTCGCGGCGTGACAGGGGACTCTGGCCGGGCGAGGGCGTGGCTCGTGTGGGTCGGAGGCGTCAGGCGCGGGAAGAGGGCGAAGCGGAGAGGCCGGGTCGGAGAGGAGCGTGTGGAGGGAAAACGGTTGGGAGAAAGAGTAGGTCTAGATATGTTTCGGTATATGTGTGTGTGTGTATACATAGTTTCTTTCTTTATGTATAGATGCATATATATATATATATATATATATATATATATATATATATATATATATATATATATATATATATACACGCATATATACATATATACATATATATATATACATATATATATACATACATACATACATACATACATACATACATACATACAATACATACATATATACACATATATGTAATAATAATAATGATAATGTGTGTGTGTGTGTGTGTGTGTGTGTGTGTGTGTGTGTGTGTGTGTGTGTGTGTGTGTGTGTGTGTGTGTGTGTGTGTGTGTGTGTGTGTGTGTGTGTGTGTGTGTGTGTGTGTGTGTGTGTGTGTGTGTGTGTGTGTGTGTGTGTGTGTGTGTGTGTGTGTGTGTGTGTGTGTGTGTGTGTGTGTGTGTGTGTGTGTGTGTGTGTGTGTGTGTGTGTGTGTGTGTGTGAAAAGTAGAAAGTGGGGGAATATGAGGGAAAAGGATGGGAAAATCAGGGAGGAAACGGATTAAAGGAAAAAGGAAGAGAAAAAGGAGGAGGCGAATAGCGTGCGTAGGAGAGATAGAGAGAGAGAAAAAAAGAAAGGAGAGAAGGAAAAGAAAGAAAGAAAAGAAAAACAAGGGGTGGGGCGAGGAAAATGGCGGACGTGGACTGACAAAAGAAGAAAGAAAAGAGAAAGGAAAATGGGGAAGAAGGGAGACAAAAAAAAGAATAGTGCGAAGGAAGGAAGAATGAAATGGAGTAAGAGAAGGGAAGAGAAGCAGCACCGATGAAAAATAACACGCAAAGGAAACACGAATTGAGTTGTGTGGTCCTGCAGGGTGGTCCGTGATGCACCTCTCTCACTCTCTCTTATCTGTTTGTCTGTCTGTCTGTCTCTGCCTGGCGTTTTGTATGTTGTATCTGCTTTTCTCTGTTTCCTTTTCTGTTTCTGTCTAAGTCTGTCTCTGTCTGTATGTCTGTCTATCTCTGTCCAGCTGTCTCTCCCTCTCTCTGTAAGTCTGTGTTTAATAATAATCATCATCACCATCATCATTATCAACATCATTATAATAATAATAACAGAACAACAATAACAACAACAACAATAATAATAACAGTATTATTGATAATAATAACAATAATGATATTAAACCCAATACTACAACTAATACTAGTCTAGTAATCATAATAACAATAACAATCATTTCTCCTATCATTATCAATAATATTAACACCAATGATAATCATTTCAATTACCATTATCAATAATAATAATAACAATAACACTAATAATGATAATGATGATAAAAATAATGACTAAAATAATGATAAAACAATGCTATTGATAGTAATGATAATATCAATAATAATGATAATGACAATAATAACAATATTAATAATAATAATAATAATAACAGTGATAATGATAATTAACATTTTCTTATTGTTATCATTATCATCAACATAACTATCATTATTATTAACAATATCATTATATATATCATCATTGTTATCATCAATACTGTTACAGTTGCTATAATTCTCATCCTTATTATCATATTGTGACTAAATAAAGCGTCAATTTTGGTAAAACATGTCGTTAAATAGACGTGCACCACTCGTTCTCACCTTGATCACAGAAAGAGAGATGGAGAGAAAGAAGAGGACAAAATACAACGAAAAATGAGCAAATGACTGAGAACAACCTCCACCCCATCCTTTCAGTCTATCTCTCCCTCCTCCCCTTTTCAATCTACACCCCTCTACCCCCTTTCAGTTTACATCCCTTCTCATCCACCCCCTTTCAGTCTACACCCGTGTATACCCCTTCCCCCTCCACCCCCTATCAGTCTACACCCCTCCCCCCTTACAGTCTATCCCTCCCTCTCCACCCCCTTACAGTCTACCTCTCTCCTCCTCCCCCTTTTCAATCTACACCCCTCTACCCCCTTTCAGTTTACATCCCTTCCCATCCACCCCCTTTCAGTCTACACCCTCCGCCTTACAGTGTATACCCCTTCCCCCTCCACCCCCTATCAGTCTACACCCCTCCCCTTACAGTCTATCCCTCCCTCTCCACCCCCTTACAGTCTACACCTCTCTCCTCCTCCCCTTTTCAATCTACACCCCTCTACCCCTTTCAGTTTACATCCCTTCCCATCCACCCCCTTTCAGTCTACACCCTCCGCCTTACAGTGTATACCCTTCCCCCTCCACCCCCTATCAGTCTACACCCCTCCCCCCTTACAGTCTATCCCTCCCTCTCCACCCCCTTACAGTCTACCCCTCCCCCTCCACCCCCTTTCAATCTACACCCCCTTCCACCTCCCTTTCAGTCTACACCCCTCCCCTTTCATTCTGCACCCCTACCCCTTCTCCCTTTCAGTCTACACTCCACCCCCCCCCCCCTGTGAGGCTGGTCCGCGGCAAGCCTTAACTTACAACCTCGTAATTGCTGCGTTAACGTGCGCCTGATTTCCGTACTTCCCCACCTCCTCACATTCGAACTATCCTAACTATGCCCTAGTTGTTTGACCGCGGGCCTCCTTTCAGGGCAAGAAGGGCATGATCTCACCGAGCCAGTCTGGCGAGGCGTCACCGCTTTTGTTGCTGGCTGGACACCAACACATCAACAAGTAAATGAAAAATAAATAAATAAATAAATAAACAGAAAAAAACACGCATGGTATGTAGGCTATATGTGTCCAACAACAGTATTTTCTTGCCTGCTTTTCCTCGTCTAGACTACGCTGAACAGTTGTTTCAGTTGTTGAAATGATTCCAGTAACACCACTGAAGTGTGACGGTCTTTCTTAGAATTCTGATCAAGGAAAACGGGAATACTGAAGAAGTTAGTAGGAGCGCCATTTATTTATCTGTTTGCAGTCAAACGCTTTTCATACCTGTTTTGTGTTCGCAAAGGGAATTAGGATTGAAAGGCAATATCTCTTTCTCATTTATTTCCCGGTTTGTTGGTTTCTGAATACTGCGTGCCATCATTTCAGATGAATTTAAACTATATCACGATTATATGTGTCAGTGACACTTTTCCTTTGCAATGCGGTAAAAGTGATTCGTCTCTCTCTCTCTCTCTCTCTCTCTCTCTCTCTCTCTCTCTCTCTCTCTCTCTCTCTCTCTCTCTCTCTCTCTCTCTCTCTCTCTTCTTTAAGTTGGATAATAATTACTGTTATTACCATTATCACTATCCCTATAATTATTTTTATTACTATCATTTTTATTATCATCATTATTGATATTATATTTATTGCTATTTCCACTGTTCTTAGCATTCTTATTATTAAGGTTGTTAATATAATTATCATCATTATCATCATCATTATTTTCATCATCATCATCATCTTCATCATCATCATCATCATCATTTTCATTATCAGCATCGTCATCTTCATCATCATCATCACTATCACCATTATTATGATTTTGATGATAATTATAATATCAATAACAATTATACTAATAATAACGATAATAATAAAAACAATAATGATAACAATTATATAATAATGATATAAATAGTAATGATAATGAGATAATGGTGATAAAAATAGCAGTGATAGTAACAATAATGTTGATAATAATAATGATAATAACAATAATAGCAATCACGCTAAAATAACAACTAGTATAATATCATCAATGATTGTAATAACGATAATGATGATGAATATAATCCAAACTATAATGATATCAATAATGAACCGCGTTCGTGGCGACCACTGTAGGAAAGGCACGAATGCGGGCAGACGTCTTCACAGGACGAGAGACGTATCTGACCGGCCTCGAATTTGTCTGCGTCAGAAATGCGTGCACTCTGATGAAAATATAATCGAACCCGCTCATATACCTCTTTTACTCTGTGAGGATGTTCATTCTCACTCATACCATCTCAAAATGAATAGTAAGCTTGGGGAAGCAGCTTATATCAGGCTAGTAGACGAAAGAAGTCGCCAGCCTGGAGACCTTGTACGGAAGAACTGGTCAGTTGCTTTGTTCTCCGTCCTCTCCTTCTAGGCCTCCTGCAGGAACTCTAGGGTCTTTTACCACTTCCCTTGCTCTTGATCTGAAAGATAAGAAGTTCGTTATTGAGACAAGTGTAGGGTGTTCTTAATGCCATCGTAAGTTCTAGTTCAGTGGTTCATAAAAAGGCGGTACCGCACCCTGAAGGCGGTGAGGCAATAGGGGGGGGGGTAGCATTAGGAGCAGTTGGTAATTTTTCTTATTTTCTTCCTTTTACTCTTAGTGAAATGCATCTCAGTCATGAGACTCACCAAGCATATCCATCCCATTAACAATAACTGTAAAGACAATATTGCTATGGCTATTGGCGGGATGTTGATTAACCCTTTTAATTTAATCATTCCCCCCCAAAAAAGGCGTTTCGATGTATGCATAAAGGGGGAGGGCGCTAGAAATCTGGTAGCAAGTGGGCGCCAGCCTAGAAAGTTTGGGAACCGCTGTTCTAGATCTTGGCTTATGGATTGTGTGTGTGTGCTTTGATGATGTATTTGTATTGGTGGATGGTTAAGGTCTTTTCATTATCATTATCTTTATTGTTTACGTATTTACTGAATTATTTTATGATCCATCTCTCTAAACATCGGTGTAGATGAATGCAGGTATACCGTTCTAGGTATATTAACAATTCAAACGTGATGTGGACCGCCAAATAAATGAAAAATCTCGGAAACTATTTCGCCAAATTCAGAAAATGATAAATACAAAAATATAGCCGGCAAGTAATACCAAGTCGGCAAAACCTTGCTTACCTGGCCTCGAAGCGGCTGATGGTGTCAGGGAGTGCTGCGCCTTGCGTCTCGGGCAGCGCCAGCGTTGCCAGTCCAGCCACCACAGAAGACGCACCAAATACCACAGAAGGAGCCCAAGGGTAGACGGAACCCTGTCATATTGTTAGTACCATCTTTATGTTGTCTCCTTTCAGTCAGTATTCCATGTTCAATATCTCATTTTCCTAATATTTGAAGAAGTCACTTTTTTCCTTCTTTGACCCTGTGAACATCAGCCGCAACAAAAGATCAGTAATAAAACTCCCATTCCATTCAAAATTACAACTCCCACGAACCAAATCTGCCTCTTCACAACCCCTCGAGAAGCCTCGCTCCCGCCCTCACCATGGACTCCGTGACGAACGGGGCCACCATGGCTCCGATTCGAGACATCATGAGGGAGGTGCCCATGCCCCGCGTCCGGACCTCCGTCGGGAAGACCTCGGAGGCGAACAGGAAAAGGATGTTGAAGGTGAAGGTGATGCTCATCTTGCCCACCATCGCCAGGCTCACCGCCGCCCATGCGTGGCCTAGGGACGGGAAGAAGGGCCCTCAGGGGAGGCAGTGGGTTAAGGTAGAAGGCTTTTGGTGTGTAGTCGCGGAAAGAGAGGATGGGGGGCGGATATATATATATATATATATATATATATATATATATATATATATATATATATATATATATATATTGCTACAAGCCCAGGTAGCTTGCGAGTCGTTTTACGCCTGAATTAGGTGGATCAGGTCCCCGCACTGCCGTCGCGACCTTGCCCTAACCTCGCGCGTGAGTGGGTCGCGGTGAGGAAGCGGAGGAGTGAGGAGGAGGACTTGCTTGGCCGCCGTCACAACCGCCGCCGGGCTTTAGGGTTGGCATTCTGTCCTTGATTATCATTTCTTTTCTTGGTTAGGGTTGGTTTGGGATTAAGGCGATTTCTCGGAGATCGCGTAGGCATATTATACGGTGAAGGTTTTGAACATAAACTATAGAAAATAATTATCAACTGTAATGGAGATTTACTCTTTCCATGTCCACCTATAAATAGGCTTACATAAGGATTATGAATAAGCATTAGGATTATAATTAAGCATGAAAAGGGGTATAATTAAGCATGAAAAGGATTATAATTAAGCATGAAAAGGATTATAATTAAGCATAAAAAGGATTATAATTAAGCATAAAAAGGAGTATAATTAAGCTTAAAAAGGAGTATAATTAAGCTTGAAAAGGATTATAATCAAGCATAAAAAGGATTATAAATGAATACGAACATTTCTTAATGTTAAACAGAAATCTGATTATGATTATGGAAATTGAATAATAGACAACATATGAAATAAGTTTCACACTTCATTCACTACTAGTCTTTGTTATTATGAATCAGTAGCCCACGCATGAGGCCGAGATACTAATTGTTGGGCTTCTAGCTTGTTCTAAGCATCATGGAATATTTACAATCACACTGATTTGTAATAATATATATATACATACATATGTGTGTGTGTGTGTGTGTGTGTGTATATATATATATATATATATATATATATATATATATATATATATATATATATATATATATATATAATATAATATATATATGTATATATATATATAAATATATGAATATATATATATATATATATATATATATATATATATATATATATAATATATATATATATATATATATATATATATATATAATATTATATATATATATATACAGATAAACCAGGCTTATCGGGAACGTTTCGGGTGTAGAGTTCGTCACCCATTATCAATGATTAGCTGCAACAATAAAACAACATAAAACTATGAAGGTGTAAAAATATCATAATGTATTATTAAAATGTATCATCAAGTATGAGGAAAAGTAAAATATACAAAATATGAATATACTTATAGAGAACGACTTGAACGCACCGGTGCTGCCATCTATCATTTTCTGTTTACATTTGGCAATATTGTTGGAACATCGGAATGTATAGAAAATGTGGGGGTATAAAAAACAGGGTAAACTATTGTGGTTATGAGCGTAACAATTCCGAGTCAGTGGAGGCTAAATATTCATTCAGTTTCGGTCGTCCTTTCCAAATCCACAAACTTGCTAATATAGAGAGGTCAGAGGCAAATGGTGATGAGTCTATTACTTTGGAATCATGTTTAGATAAATGATGGTTGTTTTGTTGACAATGTTCACGCGTTGGGAAAACCATACACCCGAAACGTTTGAGAAAAATAAAGATGCTGTTCCCAATAAGCCTGGTTTAACTGTTCCTTATACGCCTCCGCTTCCCGACTGGTTCAATTACGACTATATTATATTATATAATATATATATATATATATTATATATATATATATATATGTGTGTGTGTGTGTGTGTGTGTGTGTGTGTGTGTGTGTGTGTGTGTGTGTGTGTGTGTGTGTGTATATATATATATATATATATATATATATATATATATATATTATATATATATATATACCTGGATATGGAGAGATAAGAGAATATGGAGAGAGAGAGAATAGGGAGAGGCGTGTGTATGTGCGTGTGTGCGTGTGTGTGTGTGTGAAGCTTCATACATGCATACACAGACAGATAACCCACAGACAGACAGTCACAGGCCCCGGGACGAGGCAGCCGCCCTCACCTGAGGGCATGAAGGGCAGCGCCAGGAGCGCGGCGCCGCTCACCACGAAGAAGAAGATGCTGAGCGTCCGCCTGGCGAAGCGCGCGATGACGGGGACGACGACGGTGTTGGCCGGCACCTCCACGAGCCCCGAGAGAGCCATGTAGAGGAAGGGGTCGGCGCTGAGGGTCCCGCCGCCGAGGGAGAGGCCGAAGGCCCACCACGAGGTAGTCGATGTACATGACGGAGGTGATGGTGCGCAGCCGGGGCGTCCTGGGGGAGGGGGGGTCAGCGATAGTTTGGAAGGGTGCGGGGAGTAAGGGAGGTATGGTGACGGTAATAGATGCAGTGAACACTCAAAAGTATTATTATCGTAAAAGATAGTAACTGCGAAGGAAAACTGTTTCCTGGAAAGGTATGGTGATAATTGCCATCTTTTCCGGTGGCAATTAGGGTGATCGCGACGCGAGGCAAGACAGCCTTCTCGGCTCCGCCCATTTCTTTGACATAATGGGAGTGGCCGCGGTTGACGGCTTGCTATTTTACTACATATTGGTTATTTTTCCGACAGGTACACAATATTTTGTAATATGATATCCAAGATGGATTTTGATATCTTATGGTGGGTAATGCGGTGTTATAGATATTCAAGTACGAATATGCATGAAATATCTGAAGTAGGAGGAATGCATCTGGCAACTCGATAAATGTTTACCGCCTGCTCGATTCCTGTCGCGTGAAAGGTGTCGCGTTCCCGTATGAAAAGATAGCAAATGAAATGCACGATCAATGAGCGTGAGAAATATGGTGTCCGAATCATACTTTCAGGACTCCGCGCGCTGCGCCTCCGAATTAGGCTTTCTCGATTTCTTTGACATAATGGAGTGGCCGCGGTTGACGGCTTGCTATTTTACTACATATTGGTTATTTTTCCGACAGGTACACAATATTTTGTAATATGATATCCAAGATGGATTTTGATATCTTATGGTGGGTAATGAGATATTCAAGTACGAAATGCATGAAATATGAAGTAGGAGGAATGCATCTGGCAACTCGATAAATGTTTACCGCCTGCTCGATTCCTGTCGCGTGAAAGGTGTCGCGTTTCCCGTAACCGCTGGAAAAGATAGCAAATGAAATGCACGATGATTGCGAAAGATACAATGAGCGTGAGAAATATGGTGTCTAGAAAAAAAGAAAAAAAAAATATGGTGATTATATAAAACAGAATCATAAGAGAGATACTTTGCAGGAAACAGTGATCAGAAGAATATGAATATTACAGCCAGAGGAGGGGAGGGGAGGGAAACGCGAGGAGGAAAGAAGGGGAAGGAAGTGGGATGCTTATCCTGAGAAGCTTTCTTCCATCGGGCCCAAGTTAGACTCATGTTCTGGAAATGTTTATAGTATAAGACTGGCATTCTGGCCTCGATTTCAAGTATCCAGCTTAGCTTTCATCGGTTGATAAGTCAAATGGTATGACAGGATGCTCTGACTAGGAATCATTTGCACCGGCGAATGCGCGTTCAATTGGCCTTCGACATTTCGCTTTAAAGAATGATCAATGTTAGCCATGACGCCTCATTAATAGGTTCAGTGGAATCATGTGAGCATTTTTAAAGCCTGAAAGGAAAACTTTTTTTCCCTGCATGCATATGAGTCGGTCCTCTTTCGTTCTTCCCTAAAGAGAAAACACCAGGACCACTATGACGTTGCATCGTTTATGTTATTTACTTTCGGATGAAACATGTTCAGAATCAACTCTTTATCAAAACTATGCGTTTTGTCCGCAAATTCGGATCTGAGGAAACGACCGTAGCGTCTCAAGGGAATTGGTGTCGATGACGTCACAAGATGTTCCTTGGCACATTACCAACATTAACCAGTCATGGCATGTATATATAGGTACGTGTATATACATGTATATGTATGTTTATTTATATTTATATAAATGTGTTTATATATATTTATATAAATGTCTATATATGCGTATGTATATATATACAGATGTATGTATATGTATATATATACAGATTTATACGAAATATAGATTTATACGAAATCGTACGTTAACTTTTTATAATCGAAATTTTAATGGACTATAACAAAGTATGTAAGTGTCTCCAATGTTCATTGAACGCTACGTTCAATGAACATTGGAGACACTTACATACTTTGTTTCTCTGTGTTGCAATATCAACCATAACTTTCGGTTGCAATATTTATCTAACAATATCCACAAAGAGACATGAATAAATGGAAAACAAGACAGAAGGGGGAAAGATAATCAAACAAAAGAATAGGTAGAGGGACGGCTGGTTGGATGGATGCATGGAAGGACGGAGGGGGAAAGAACGAGAGAGAGAGAAAGAAGCAAAAACGGAAAAAAACAGGATAGAAAAGATACATACCACTGACGAACAAGCAAGCATATACAAAAAAATGAAAGAAAAAATACGCAAATAAGAAACATCTAATGGAAATAGAGCAAAGAAAAACATTTGTCTTACCTGAAAAGAATAACAGCTGTCTCAAAATATTCTTTAACTCTGTCTTTAAAGTTGTCATGAGTAGCTTTTTCTTGGACTTCCTTCAGA